TACTAGAAAAGATAGAATTAGATTATTTAAATCCGGAAAAAAACAATATATAAAAAAATGGGTCAGGTTAGGACAAGATAGATTTTTATTACCAGGAGATAAATTGACAGTTATACCATTTGTTAAACATTACATTCCAACAACCGATGAAAATCCGGTAAAATGTAAACAATATCGACAGCCTCCGGAGTACGAACAAGCAGGAAAACAACTCATAACGAAAATGTATGGAGATGATTTAATAGTAAACTCTAAATCAAACTACAACTCTCCAGTTCTAATAGTTCCAAAAAAGGCAGATGCACAAGGCAACAAAAAATGGAGACTAGTAATAGATTTCAGGGCATTAAATGAGAACCCAATACCCCTGGTAAATTCAATTTTGGAAAGGTTAGGAAATGCGCAGTACTTTTCAGTTTTTGATCTAGCTATGGGGTATCACCAAATTGGGACAGCAGAAGAAGATCAACACAAAACTGCTTTTTCATCAGGAAGAGGGCATTATCAATATAAAAGAATGCCTATGGGAATAAAAAATGCAGCAGCTACATTTCAAAGATTAATGGACAATTTTTTTTCTAGGTTTACAAGGAGCAGAGCTATTTGTTTATTTAGATGACATTATAGTTTTTTCACAAACCCTCGAAGAACATAACAAAACTATAACTCGATTAATGGAAAGATTAAGAAAGGCAAAGCTGGCACTACAACCTGAAAATTCGAATTTTTGAGAAAAGAGGTGGCTTATTTAGGACATGTTGTAAGTGCAGAAGGAATTAAAGCAGATCCTAAAAAAATCGAAGCAATAAAAGAATTTCCAACATTAAGCAAAGCAAAAGCTGTGAAAGGTTTTTTAGGAATTACAGGTTATTATAGAAAATTTATAAAAGGTTACGCTAAAATAGCAAAACCTTTATACATTCTATTAAAAAAAGAACAACAATTCCATTGGGGAAAAGACGAAAAAAGAAGTTTCAAAAAACTAAAAAGAGCGCTTTGCGAAAATCCTATATTACAACATCCAGATTTTTCGAAAACATTCAAGGTAACAACCGATGCTTCAGACCATGCTATCAGTGCGGTCTTAACACAAGAAAAAGATGGAATTGATTTACCGGTAGCTTACTTTTCAAAAACTTTAGTAGAAGCGGAAATGAATTATGAAACTACACAAAAAGAGTGTTTAGCAGTAATAAGCGCACTAGAACACTTTAGACCTTTTCTGTATGGAACCAAATTTATACTTTCTTGCGATCATGAGCCTTTAAAAATAATAAATAACGCAAATAAACCTACGACTCGAATGACAAAATGGTTGTTACGTCTACAAGATTACCAATATGAATTTGAGTGCAAACCAGGAAAAATTAAAAGGTGGCTACCAGGGCTATCGGAAAATCCAATTAAAGAAGATGAAAGTACAGAAGAAGGTTCAGAGAATTCAGAAACAAGCTCTAGCGATGAGATTTTAAATTCAGACGAAGATGAAAAGGAATTAGAAGCAGGAAAAAGAGCTTTCCCAATAAGTAGCGCAGCTGGCTCAAATAAGGATAAAAACACATTGAGTAAGCAAACTCAAAAAATGAGGGAAAGGGCTAAATCAGATTTAACTGTAGAACTAAGAAACACAAGCAATGCTAGAGAGCAAAGAAAACAAGAAAGACCTATAGGTAGTTTCAAATAGAAAACAGTAGTGGATGATAGCGACGAGCGGCCTATAGCATCAAGACTAAGGTCAAGAGCAACAACTACTACAAATAAAGAAGAGAAAACATTGCCACAACAAAATTATTTTGAATCGGAAAGAGACAGTGAGGGATCTAACACAGAAGAGTCAATACAAGCGAATAAAGAAATCCCTATACTGCGACAAAGCCATAGTGTATTACCCTCACTAAGTAAAGTAAGAGAAGAAATGGAAGAAACCACATCTTCTGGCGAAGATGAAGTATTTTATAATAAAAGTCCAACAAAGAGACTTCAGAAAGATGAGATTATGATACATGTTAGCCCCCCATAAGCAGTTCAGATGAGGAAGAAGAAGAATTAGTGGTGAACAATAATAATGAAGTACATGAAATAGATAAACTTCAAGGAGAACAAATACAAACAGATAATGAAAATGAAGGGAACAAACAATACAATGTAGAATGTGAAAGAAAAGACAATAAAGTAATAGAAAAAGAAATGTTAGAAGAAATAAGGGAATCTATAAAGCGGTACGATATGAGTATTGCAGAACATCAGTCGTATTTTTGGGATAATGAAATAACAGAAAGACCAGAGGAAGCGGAAATCGAAAAAGAACCACAAGAACAAGTTAGGACAATAGATGAAATAATTGCAGAGTTACGAGAGTTAAATAAAGATTTAGAAAAAACAACAATTCTGGAAGAAGAAAAAGGTCGGAAGGAAGAACCACCAAAATTTACTGAAAGAATCAAGAAGTCGATAACCTTTGATAATCCGCTTCATCAACAACCACCAAATGCTAGATCCACCCCGTACATTCATAACGTAATAACGGAAGAAGTAGAAGAGGCTGAATTATACCCAGAAAGATTAAAAACACGAATTAAGCCAAGAAAATTAATCGAGCAAACAACAATTTCACAAAACAAAGAAAGTGAAATTAAATCTACTAGAGGGATAGGCCTAGGCATTACAATGCCCTACATAGACGTCCAACAACCAGTAGTAAAAAGATATGAGGATAAAATAATTAAACCCAATTTAGATAGGTTAGAAAAATTGGAATATAGAAGGAAATCTCTAACAGAAATATGGGGAAATTACGTACACTTCATGTCGGCAGATCTAGAACTCAATGATCCTGTGAATAAATTAATGTCGGCTATAGGACCAATAGATATAAAGGAAATGAAAAGCAGAATACCAAAAAATAGGACAAATTTTGGTCACACCTAGAAGTAAATACAAGACTTTCTCAGTAATAATAAAAACAGAATATGATGAAGTAATAAACGAGGAAGATTAAAAGAAGTACTATTGAATCTCAGAAAAGTATTATTGAGAGAAAACGTCAAATCAATTCGAATTCCACGACACACAGTAACACTAGATGAGTTCGAACCATCATGGATCAATAAAATAGTAGAAATTTTTTTTAGAGATGATATACAAATCCAAGTGTGCTTTGGAGAGATAGTGATACCTCCAGATGAATACAGGACGAAAATAATTGCTGCATATCATGATAGTCTAATGGCGGGCCACAAAGGAGTAAATAAAACTTATCACAGGATTAGAGAAAAATATACGTGGCCAGGATTAAGACAAGATATAACGGAGTATATAAGAAAATGTAGGAGCTGTGCACAAAAGAAAATAGTAAGAAATCGAAATAAAGAAAACATGATAATAACAGATACACCTCTAGATGTATGGGAAAAAGTATCTCTTGACACTGTTGGTAAATTACCAACTACAGCGAATGGCAACTGTCATGTCTTAACAATGCAAGATCAGCTCAGCAAATATAGTATTTTCGTAGCAATACCTGATATTAGCGTTACTACAATAGCACATGCAATAGCCACTAATTTATTTTCAGTATACGGGGCACCAAAATGTATACTCACTGATCAAGGCAGGTCATTTACAAGTGACCTCTTAAGAAAGTTGGCAAAAATATTCAAGGTATCACAAGTCACAACAACAGCCTACAGGCCCCAAACAAATGGAGGATTAGAGCGTAGTCACGCAGTGTTAGCAGAACTCCTAAGACACTATGCTAAAGCAAAAGATGACTGGGACAGACTTCTCCCTTATGCAATGTATGCGTATAATACGTCTGTACACGAAGCTAATAACTTTACACCATACGAAGTAATATTCGGAAAAATAGCGAGAACACCATCAATCTTTCCAACACCAGAAAAACTAGAAACTTATGAATCATACATAAGAGAGTTAGTAACAAGATTGATTTAAATTAGAAGAATAGTCCATATTACCACGGACCATACAGAGTGGAAGAAATAACAGAAAAAAAGAACTTGATTCTAAGCGATGCAGAAAAAAAAGATTTCGCAAACATAAGGATCAAGTAAAAATAGCTTTTTTATGATAAAATAATACTAAAGGATTCATAAAAGATAAAGCAGATTTTATTAATGTTTATACCGACGGTGCCTGCAAAGCAAATGGCAAACCACACGCTAAAGCTGGCATAGGTATATAGTTTAACAATAAGCACTCTCTAAACGTTAGCGAAAGAGCAAGTAAAAAACAAACTAATAACAGCGCAGAAATCGAAGCCATTATGAGGGCTATTGAAATTATAAAATTGCTAGGTTAGGGACGCATGAATATTCCCTTCATTAGACTTGACGGAATTTTTGTGGTGTCAATTTAAAACTTATCGAATTTACATTCAGTAGAATATTAAAAAAGAGATTTTATAATGAGCCTAATTTTAATAATGAAAAATTTTTATTTAACAAAATTCTGATTTTGTAGAATTTCTATTTAACTGAACTTAGATAAAGCAGATTTTCTAATATATCGAATTTTCAAATAACACAATTTCCATTTAATAAAATTGATATCGAGAAAAATTTTCATAAAAAAGAATTTTTATTTATCAGAATTGATTATTTGTCGAATTTCTATTTATCCGAATATTAACTTAAAATTATTTTAATTAACAGAATTTCCAATTAAAATAATTTCTATATAACAAAATTCTCATTTAACAAAAGTTTTATTCAAAAAATTTCTATACTATCTAATTTTTTTTAATAGTATTGTACATACAGACTCTAAATTTGCGATAGAAGGACTAACAAATTGGGTACCAAAATGGGAAAAAAGGTTAGAAAACTAGTCGTTAACCGGATGTACTTAGTAAAAGTTATTTCAAAGAAATGAGAAAAATAATAAAAGGAATAACAGTAGAATTGATATATGAACCGGGGCATAGTGGAATAACCGGAAATGAGGAGGCAGATGAACTAGCCAAATTAGCAATACACGTAAGAATTATTAAGATAATATTAACTAAGAAACACGTTATAATTTATGTTTACAGAAAAATGAACTACGCAATAGGAATACTAATACTAACCGTATGGATAATCGAAATAACGTATGCAAAAATCGACAATGAAGATATCAGCGTTATAACAATGAATAAAGGTATAGGCATATACTTTGAATGAATGACCGCAATACGTAGAGTAGCAGGTTCCTTGAGAACAGCAGTGATAAGGCCGAAGCACAATACCTTCGCGAACGAAAATTCGTTCGCGAACGACGTTCGCAAAGCCAAAGTTGACGTTCGCGAATCCGAAGTTTAATTGTGCGTTGAAACGTTCGCGAACATTCGTTGAAGGCACCATAACCTGGAAAAATTGATGTCAACTGGCGGGGATCAGTCTTATTTTAAGTATAAATACTATAAAGACGACAAAGATTTTTACCAAAAATTTATTCGGGAGGAAGAAAGTAAAAGTAAGTATTTATAGTAAGCATTATATAAACCATATAATTAAATAAATTTCCATTTAAAAAGGAATTCGACTTTCGCGACGCTGTCGTAACCTCAAAATTAAAAATTGTTTTTAACTATTTGTTACGCATAAAAAAATTATAATACAAATTAATTGCAAACAGTTTTATTAGATTTAATTATGTACTTTTCAAAAAAATAATAAGTCAAAATCTTTCGTTAAATAATATTTTTTTGGACATTTTCGTTTTTGTAATCAATATAACTTATTTTATTCATATCGTTGAAACATTCTCTCTAACCGTATTTATTTTAATATTTTGTAAACATATACATATTTTTAAAAAATTGTAATTTTTTGTATAAGCTGAAAGAAAAGAAATTAAAATATAAAAAATTGATTTCAAATTCTGTAGCTTACTTCTAGTCTGCCGTATGTTGAAAATTGAAGGAAGATACGAAATTTCTTTTTTTTTTTTAATAAAATCTATTTCAATGTATTTTAAAATGTGAAGCGTATACCACAACCTTGTAACAATTTTTCCGGTAATAAATGATTACTGATACAAATTTAAATATATTTCAGGTCATGAATTATTTTGGTCATGTAAGATGTTTATTTTGATTTATTATTTTATTTTTGTTCCGTATCAAAAATTAAATCCATGACTATTAAATTTATTACAAAAGACGCCAATATCTTTTATAATTTTTTGAATAAAATGTGCAAAATTTTTGTAATTGATTTTTTGCAGAAATCATGGCTGAAATTCAGGATTTTTCGGATTATGAGGATGAGTTTTATGACGATAGAGGTGACGACGAAATGCTGATCGATTTGGTTAGGGGTTATCCTTGCCTTTATGAAAGATCGTCTAAGGACGTCAAAGACTTAGGAATGAAGGAAACATCTTGGCAGGAAATTGCTAACATACTTAATAGCCATCGTATGTAAAAAAATATTTATATTAGAGTCATTCCATTATATTTCACCCGAAGTTATTGCGGCCTATTAGAAAATCTGATAATTTGTAATCATAATTTTTAATATCCGTACAATTCATTTTTGGCAATTATTTTATGAAATTTTTTTATTAACCTTAGAATTTAAAATTTTTAAGTTGAGTTGCACGGCAACAAGTATATATTTACAGGTGTGAAAATTTAATAAAATTTTTCAGGTTAAAATGCAAGTAGTTTTGTAAAACAGAAATGAATTGCATCACTATTCATTTAAAATTTATTAAAAATCTATTCGTATTTGTAAACCTGAAAATTCCTTTTTTATAAATACTTTTCAAATTAAAAAAAACTCGAAGAATAGTTCGTTCTCTATCGCCAAAATTTAATAGGATAAAGAAAACGATTTAACTTGAAGATTAAAAAAATATTTGAATTTTTTCAGTTATCACTTGAGGAGATATTATTGTTCAAAATCATCTAAAATCTCGAAAACTTAAACTTTCAAGTTAAAATATTTTATATTTCTACACTATAAAATTAAAAAGTCATTATATGTATTCAGTAAAAAAATTTTAAATATCTTCCTTTTATTCATTGCAACTCAACTTTGGAATGAAAATACCAGCGTAAATAAAGAAATTTAATCAAATATTTGCCAAAAATGAATTACACTGATGTCCTAAATCATTTTTACAAATTATTAAATTTATCTAAAATATAGGCCGCAACGAATTTCAGTGAAATATAATGAAATATGGCCTATTAATAAAATTTATGATATATTTATGTAATTAAATATTATTAAATATATGTTTCTAGCTGCAAGTGTTCAACAGAAATGGAAGGATTTAAAAGATAAGTATTGTAGAGAAAAAAGATTGTCAGATGCAGAATACACAAGTGGAAGTGGCTCTTCATCAAAAAAGAAATTTCCTTATTTTAAGGAAATGTCGTTTCTGGAACCGCATCTTCGAAAGAGAAAAACGCAAAATAATTTTAATGAAAAATCACCAGGTTTTTCGGGTGCAAAAAATGAAAAGTATGTATTTTGTTAACAATTTTGAGTTAAATATGATACAATACTCTGAGAAAATGTTTCAATAATTTATTATTAAATTTATATTAGAATTTATTATCTCCAATAACATTTGTGTGATAGAAATTTTTTTTTAATAACAGAAGAATAGCAGATAAATAAGGAAACTAATTCTTTCAACCCTGTATGAGAAGCAGCTTTGTGTTTTAAATTTAAAAAAAAAAATTATGACCATTTTGGACAAATGAAAATTCAAGAACAACAGGGAAAATTCTTCTCCTAAACTTTCAATTCTGCATGTGAGAGATTCTTTTTCAATCGCCCCAGCCCAAAAAGTCAATGTTCTGGGATTGGCTTCATACTTTGGTAAATTGTTGTCCTATATGATAGTAATAAATCCCTAAAATATAAACTCATTAAAAAAATATTTGTAGAAAGTAGAGGGGGGGGGGTGAAGTTTTGACGTTAAGGGTAACATTGTCATTTTCAAATCCGTATAACTATGACAAAAGTTAATGGATTTTAATTTATCCATAATGAATTTTAATGCATTTTTCACGTACTTTTCAAAAATGTATACAAAATTTAAAAAAATAAATTTTTGACCCCTTTTTTCCAAAATCAACCCTTATTTTTCGATTTTCACCCCTTCAGGTATTTTTTTTTTTTTTTTATTTTCATTGGAAAGCTGAGGTTTTTTCCGATGAGCTATGTAAATATGAAAGTGGGACAACAATAATTTTGTGAGAAACAGAAAATTAAAGCAGGCGGTGCCGATAACAGGTATACCTGGAGATCATCTTCGAGGATTTAGGTAGGCACCGCCTAATTTAATATTATGTTTCTCACAAAATTATTGTTGTCCCACTTTCATATTTACATAGCTCATCGGAAAAAACCTCAGCTTTCCAATGAAAATAAAATAAAAAAAAAAATACCCGAAGGGGTGAAAATCGAAAAATAAGGGTTGATTTTGGAAAAAAAGGGGTCAAAAATTTATTTTTTTAAATTTTGTATACATTTTTGAAAAGTACGTGAAAAATGCATTAAAATTCATTATGGATAAATTAAAATCCATTAACTTTTGTCATAGTTATACGGATTTGAAAATGACAATGTTACCCTTAACGTCAAAACTTCAACCCCCTCTACTTTCTACAAATATTTTTTTAATGAGTTTATATTTTAGGGATTTATTACTATCATATAGGACAACAATTTACCAAAGTATGAAGCCAATCCCAGAACATTGACTTTTTGGGCTGGGGCGATTGAAAAAGAATCTCTCATGTACAAGAGAAGAATTGTTTCTTTGCTTCTTAACATACCTTTGTTCAAAATTGTCACAAGATTTTTTTGGAAGTTTATTATTGTCAATGAACGTAAAAATATTATTGCAATATATTTTTTATTTTACTCTTTTAGAGATATCAGCAATAAACGATCGAAGAATGATAATCCACCATCTGGAAAAAAAATAAAAACCGAAAATAACGAGGATATAAAAACCACTTTAGTGTCACTAACCAAAGTCGCAGAAAAGATACTCGATAAAAATAAGAGCGATAAAGAGAACCAAGCACCAGGTAATGATAATTCGACGTTTATAAATTACATTTCTTCTCAACTGGACACTTTACCTAAAAAGAAAAGACAAGAGTTGGAAGCAAAAATAGCAGTCCTTGTCAACAATGTCGTTTTGGAAGAAATGAGTAAAGATGACCAACAAGTTCTTTTATTTTCATTTTAAAAAATGTTTAATTTCACATACTTTTTAATATAAATATATAATGCCTTTATGAGAACCAAAGTGAAAGCAATTTTCGTAGCCAAATGTTAAGGGTAATTTAAAAAAAAAATTTTGTTTATGTGAATATTAGTTTGGTAAAAAATAGTCGTGGATTTGTGATTATTGTATAAGATTTGCTAAAAAAAAAAAAAATATGTGGAAAAAAATATGTTCAAAATATATGCGATGTTCCTATATTACTAAAATGTAATATATTATTATCTACGATAAGAAGTTATAAAATAAGGTTTTGTTGAAATTAATTATCTCAGAGCAGTTTCGACTGTAAGTTATACGTATATTTCTTTAAGATTTAATATATACAATACCCTTATCAGAACCTAAGTGAAAGCAATTTTTGTAGCCAAATGTTAGGGGTACTGTAGTAAAAAAATGTGATATATATGAATATTAGTTTGGTAAAAAGTAGTCGTAAATTTATGATTATTGTACAAGATTTGCTTTCTGATTTGTTTATAAGTTCTCTTAATAGCATGGAAAAAAATGTGTTCAAAATATATGCGATGTTCCTATATATTACTATAAATGTAATATATTATTAACTACGATAAGTATTTTATTTTCAGTTGGTTTGATATATTGTCTTTCATTAATAGTTACATATGTAAATTGTGCATTACGTTTTAATACTAATAAGGTAAAAAGATACTATCATATTTGTGATAATTATTACATTAGATTTTTCATATAGGATTGTTCATGAGATCTGTTAAGATAAGAGTAAAAAATGTGTTCAAAACAAGTGCGTTATATGACTGTCTTTAATTAATAATTTTATGAAAATTACGCATTACGTTTTAATATGTTAATATAAGTTAAAAGATATTAATATTGTGATAATTATTACATTATAATTTTCATATAAGATTGTTCACTAGTTGTATTAAGAGAAGAATAAAAAATTTGTACGAGAAAAATGCGTTACATTATTAAATGTGATATGTTAATATTATCTAGAATAAATATTAACAAAGCTGTCCTCTTAGTTTGCTTGTCTTTCGAAAATTAAACTCCAAAAGTTCGTAATAGATAAAGTATTGTTGACAATGTTTCATATTCCAACTAAAAAAAAATAAGCTTGCATTAATATTAACATCACAGATAATAAATGCTGCGATATTATTTGGATAATGGAAAATTTTTTCGCTGGAGGCATTTTGATATTTTAAAATCTAAAAAAATTATTAAAAAATTTAAGTGAACGATAAATAATTCCTCATAAAAGCAAAATTTCGTGTACTTAGATCTTATTTTAAGAATAACCAAAAATAATTCAAAAAAATTCTGTTCAACATTAGATTCTAGTAAAGATAATTCAAAAGTAAATAAATCGATGCACTTTTAAAGTTTATTTAACGTAGTGGAGAAATATTACAGTTTAAACAATAAATACATAAAAATACCTTGTAATAATGCCGTATTACGGTGCTGTAATAACGCAAAAATCTCTGTAATAACGTGTAATACTTAGTAATACGGGTAATGTGAGGCGTAATACCGGTAGTCAAGTGTTCACGTTTTTAACTAGTAAATTCCCCCTCGCTTATCCCTAATATATACATATGCATAAAGAAAAATGAGAACAATGAAGAATATAATAATGTGACTTCTGTCTCATTTTGGCAATTTTTTTTCATTCTGTTTCAAATTCACAGATAAACTAAACAAACATATTTATATTTATAAAGTATAACAGGCGAAATAAAGAAACACACAAAAGTAAAATAAACGAATTGATTCAAATTTGAAAAAATTTAATGAATTTTGTTAATTTTGTGCTATATAAAATATAAATCATGTTTACACACACGTGTCTTAATAAACTATTATTTTTAATATTATTCAATTTGTTGTTTCTATATAAATATCGTTAATGTCACATTTATACAGATCAATAATTCCACATAAGATCTGAACAATCAGCAAGCGGAGAGCCTACTTCTTAAAATGAACCCATTCGTTTTTTTTCCTTTTCATAACAGCCTTATATAATTGTTTACAATGCATACAAACTAATGATGTATATCGAATTTTGCTTCAAAAATAAATTTTGTTTTTAATTTTTTTCCTAAATTTAAAATGTAACAAATTTTATATTTAAAATATTCTTTAGAGTTGGGAAAATTATATAGTATCAATTATACTTTTAATCTTCAAAATTATAAGTAATCATTAAGACTAATAATAAAACAAACTTTTAAATTTTGAAGTAAAATTATTTCAGCTCATATTGTACTACTTTAACAATAAATTTTAGTTTTATTTCCAAAAGAGTTTTTTGATGTTAAACTATCAGAAAGACACATAAATTTCGAGGAATCTATATATTAACGAAGTTTTTCATATATAGGTTTCATTTTGTATTGTCATTGTGTAACATTGGAGCCTTCAAGTGAGACCTAAGCAAATTCTTATTTTCAAAAAGACGTGAATTGTGAAAAAAATCATGAAAAAGTAAATCGTTAACCCATTAACGCTCAGACGGACGAAAAATTGATATTGACTTTGAGGATCTCGTTCTTTTAAAAAAGTCTTTCCAAAAAATCGGCATATACCATTTCTAATGTAAAATTTATTGCTCTTTCAGAAACTGGGGTCAGAATTTGTTTATAATAAATATTTAAATAGTTATAAACAATTTTTTCCAAAAAAACACAATTTTCGAGAAAAAAATTTCTTTTCAACCATACTTTCACCGGAAAAAACAAAGGGGATGCTCTCAAAACCTCAAAATGTCGCGTCCATGGACCCTCAGCTACAAAACCCTGATGCGACCAATTTTTAATTTCAAGATGGCGGAACCCAATATGGCGTCCAAAGCTCAAAAAATAGTCCAAAAAAAAACAAGTGCTCAAATTTCTAAAAGTCACAAAAATCGTCTGAAAATCGTAACTCGGGGGTTTTCGAGGTCGCTGATTACCAATCCGATGTCACTTTTTAAAAATTCAAAATGGCGGATCCAATATGGCGGACAAGTTTTGTAAAAATTGATCGGATTCACGTAGAATTCGTTACTCGGGGGTTTTTGGGGTCGCTGAAAACGAATCTGAAGTCAAATTTCAAAAATTCAAAATGGCGGTTCCAATATGGAGGACGACTTTTTTGAAAGTGTTTGAATTCGTTTGAAAAGTTCTACTCGGGGGTTTTTGGGGTCGCTGATTACCAATCCGGTGTCAGTTTTTAAAAATTCAAAATGGCGGATCCAATATGGCGGACAAGTTTTGTAAAAATTGATCGGATTCACGTAGAATTCGTTACTCGGGGGTTTTTGGGGTCGCTGAAAACGAATCTGAAGTCAGATTTCAAAAATTCAAAATGGCGGTTGCAATATGGAGGACGACTTTTTTGAAAGTGTTTGAATTCAGATTCGTTTTCAGCGACCCCAAAAACCCCCGAGTAACGAATTTTACGTGAATCCGATGAATTTTTACAAAACATATCCGCCATATTGGATCCGCCATTTTGAATTTTTAAAAACTGACACCGGATTGGTAATCAGCGACCCCAAAAACCCCCGAGTAGAACTTTTCAAACGAATTCAAACACTTTCAAAAAAGTCGTCCTCCATATTGGAACCGCCATTTTGAATTTTTGAAATTTGACTTCAGATTCGTTTTCAGCGACCCCAAAAACCCCCGAGTAACGAATTCTACGTGAATCCGATCAATTTTTACAAAACTTGTCCGCCATATTGGATCCGCCATTTTGAATTTTTAAAAAGTGACATCGGATTGGTAATCAGCGACCTCGAAAACCCCCGAGTTACGATTTTCAGACGATTTTTGTGACTTTTAGAAATTTGAGCACTTGTTTTTTTTTGGACTATTTTTTGAGCTTTGGACGCCATATTGGGTTCCGCCATCTTGAAATTAAAAATTGGTCGCATCAGGGTTTTGTAGCTGAGGGTCCATGGACGCGACATTTTGAGGTTTTGAGAGCATCCCCTTTGTTTTTTCCGGTGAAAGTATGGTTGAAAAGAAATTTTTTTCTCGAAAATCGTGTTTTTTTGGAAAAAATTGTTTATAACTATTTAAATATTTATTATAAACAAATTCTGACCCCAGTTTCTGAAAGAGCAATAAATTTTACATTAGAAATGGTATATGCCGATTTTTTGGAAAGACTTTTTTAAAAGAACGAGATCCTCAAAGTCAATATCAATTTTTCGTCCGTCTGAGCGTTAATGGGTTAATGTAAAACGTAAATTTTCAAAATTTTGCAAACATAAAACAAGGCGCACAACTATTTCAAATACAGTGTATGCGCACTCATGAAAAATAAATACATTGCTAAAAACAAAATTATTCGGTAAACTTGCGATAAATAGGCAAAATAAAATTTTCACAAGTTGCAGCAATCGAGAATAAGTTAAATTTATATTATATCCATTAGCAATGCCTCAGAAAATTATAAAATGCTACGATATTCAAAAAGCATGACATTAACTTCTGTATTAAAGCAAAAACTAAATTAAAAAAACTTATCAATAAATGCACATTAATCGTAAGAAATGAAACTCCTTTCACGTAGAATTTAAGTATTCAGATCCTCGCTCATATTCCTTAAAAACATTTTTTTAATCTTCTATTTTAATCTGGAGATTATCACAGATTATCACAGAGACGTATAATTCAGGCAAGGTTTACTCTTATCACATTCCACTCTTTACTTTACTTTAAAAAAAAAGAAACTAAATTAGCTGCAAACTTTCCATTTTGAGAAAAATTAATTGTATCACAAAAATTCAAAGATGCGAAATCTTGAGAGAAGATTCCTTACAAATTGACTAGTTTCACTTTTCTAAAGAACCAAGCAAAAAAATTTAAAAAATTTCACACAAGTGTACTTATAATTTAAACTTGATGAAATGTGAATCGTGTTCTTGATATTTTCCCCATTCGAATCATCGATTTGATCTTTACTTGGTTCCAAAAAAGGCACAATAGATTCTTTGTTTTCTCGTGATTGAAGGTTTTCTTTGGTTTGATTTGCGATGTGAGAATCTCATTGGAACTCAAAGTTTCGGCATATGGATCGTCGATTTGTAATTTTATCGCTACAATTTAAAACAACTTTTCCGTCCTTGGCGGCTAGAATGTTGCAGAGAGCAACGACGTAATTAGATGTGAAAACGGAAACGAGAAATGTCGTTTGAAGATCTCTGGCCTTGCAGAGATCTTTTTCGAATTTTCCACTGTGCGCCCAATACTCAAGGTATTTTTCATTATATTTGTATCAAGTAGAGAACTTAAGTAACGATGCCTGCAGCTCAATAGTTGAAAAACTCTCGCGAATCTATCATCCGAACAATTTTTATATACAATCACGCTACTTGGTGTTGTACAACTGGCAAAGGAACTTGGAAAGAGAACACCTCTAATACTTCCTTGGATTTTCGTGATATTATTTCTACTCAAGTCGCCCGTTTTAACAAGAATTTTCGCTGTTTCCCGAACATTACTTAAAACAGCGTGTTTTGCACAGCCAAATAAATACCTCGTTGATTCGACACCTTCTGATTCCAATGGTTACACACAGTTCTCATTATCGTTGTCCCCGTCGTCAGAATTGGAAGTTTGAACCTCAGTCTCGGTTTCGAGTACTTAAAATTCACTGGTACCATAGGCAGGAAAAATAAAAATCAAACAGAAATCCTCAGAGCCGTAATGTGAATGAGGTAAAAATCTTCTTCAGTAGTTCTATCTTCCACTTGGATGACTTCATGTAAAATGTATGCTTAAATTTAAATTTGGTTAGATACTCATCTTTCTTTCTTTCTTTCTTTACGAAGATCGTGCGGTAAAAACTAGAAAAAATTTAATTTATCGAGGAATTTGTTTTCTTTTTAATCAAAAGAATGAAGCTTTAAAAAAGTTCCACAAAAAATTTCACACTTAAATTTCGAATATTTTAAGATCTATAAGTTTTTATGTAAAAATTTGTAAAATATATAATAATAATACAATATGGTAGACCAAAACACAAAAAATTGAATATTTCGAAAGAAATACATGATTGTCTGTTATAGCTTTCGAGAAACACTTGTTTTATAAGGAATCTTTTTTCTAGTTATTACCGTAGGTACTCTTAAAGATTAATATTATATAAGACTTGTTTTCTTTCTATATAATTGATCATTAGATATATAAATTTTATTAAACAGAAACTGGCACCCACTTATCAGCACCAAGTGAATTTAAAAAAAATTTTTAGTTGGTAATAAAAACAACAAAAGAACTGCAACGTCAAGCTGTTTAACGGTATGTATTTACATAAAGAAAATTCGTATTTAGGGAGGTTATTTCAAACACAAATCTTTTTCACGGCAAAATCTATAATAATTAACTGTTACCATAATTAATTGGTAGCTGTTTATTTATTATACATGGTAATAAAATTATTTATTATAAAATAATTGTTTGAAAATTAAAAAGATTTCCAAATATTTTTATGTTTTTGTTATTATATATATTATCAATATATTTTTGTAATTTTTATTATTATTTAAACTAAATATTATAAATGAACAATAATTTTATAATAATTGAAGTTCTGAAAAATTATAATTAAAATAATATAAACAAAAGCAAAAAAACATTATCTTATAACAAAATATAGAAAAAATAAATAAAAGTAATAAAAAAAGTAAAAAAAAATATTTAGAAAACATTTACTTTTAGTAAACAAGAAAACTATAAATTTTATTC